CGAGATTATAATCCATCAAATATTTTCGCTTGCGCGCGATTGGTCTAAACGCGTCACGTGACCGAATATTCCCCAGATAAAACTGGGGAATGTCCGAGAATATTCCCCAATTTTCAAAACTGCGCGCGTTGCGAAAAAGATTTGAAGAATAAGAAACACAATAGCCTCCATTTACGCTCTCGGAAAACTGTCCGCTTCTCGGAAAAGATAATGTCCGCGGACAAATATCCGAGCATATTTTCGCACCAAATGGAGGCTATTGTTTATATATAACCACGTTAATATGTGCAATAGATTTGTAAAAGTCTGTTGCTCTTCAATAAAAAAGATGTGGAGGCCTATAAAAATAGTATTCAGTTAAAAATCCTGCGCGATTCAAATTGTTCAGTTTTCATCGTGAAACATTAAGTCTGCGGACAATTTCCACATTTCTAGTCGGCAGTTTTTACAATAGCGTCAGCTAATACAGAACTTACCTCTGCCTCTTGCCACACATATCAGGGAGGATCTCTCTCAAGTACAGGATTTCAAGCCTCAAAAAGAGGTCACGTAGGTATTGTTACGAGAAAGGTTGTACATAATATTGCCCAGCAATATAACATGAAAAAAAAAAAAATGTCGCCCGTTACTCAAGGATGCTTTTTCACGATTACGCCACAACTCTGCATCAAATGTTCCACTTGGAAGAGTGTTGCACTGCGTTTTAATTTAATGCCCCTTAAGCAGTCATCATAATCTCAAACAATAGCAGTTTTCTAGATCATTGCACCGGTCCAATCCTAACTTATAGTGAACATAAACTGACACTCTGAGGTTTGTGTCATGAATATTCATCCTCAGTATCAACGCTCGTTGAAGTTCCGCAAGAAACACAACTATCATAGTCTAGTATTCGTTTAAGGAGCCGACAGCGAGCACAAAAAAAAACGTCTATTTTTCAAGGTGAGGTATTGATTTCCCAGTACGGATATAGCTTGATATTATTTGAGTTCTCTTGCATGATAATGTTTCAGTACTTACTTCATTGGAACAGTATCTGAACGTAAATATTTCTGTCTGGTATTTTTACGACAAGTGGCGAATGTTAACTCGCAACATTCGAGGATTTATTAATTTAAACCATCACCAAGAAGATGTAACCGCGCTGTCATTATATTTTGTCTCGATCTAATGGATAACTTTTAAATTAAACATGTAATTATAAGTAAGAGCGAAGTTATATGTGAAATATTATTATGCGTGTGCACATAACTGCAGAACTAAGATATTCTTTGTCGCATCTCAACAGTGATTTAGTAATTTAGTAACTATGTTTGAGAAGTTTCGAAGTCAATACAACCATTTTACGATCTGTCGCAGCTCGTTCTGTTGTTTATATTACAAGCTTATTGTTCCCTTGCCGTAGTTAATACTGAAATTTAGAGCTCGGCAGTAAACAAGAATTATAGCATAGTGTCAGAAGTTTATATCTTCTGGTATTCTATAATCTGAACTGTAGGTATCGATAAACTGTTTCAACTTGGCAAAAACACGTTCAGCCGCTTTGAGATTTTGGCAATAGTCCAGGACTGTCAGGTTTTGTTGCATATTAGTAATTGCGTTTTAACGAAAATCACGCCTAGACATACACTGTTCACAGCTTGTTTTGGATTCCATGTTCTACTTGGCTGAATTTGCGTATTTTGCAATTTAACTTATGAAGAGTCACACTTATGTGCGGAATCTTTCTCGTACTTTCTTACACGTTTAGTTTTGGGTTCATCAACACTGAGCGAGAAGATGTAAAACTAAAAACCGTTAATGTTAAAAATTGCCGACTCAGTACTCAACCAAAAGTCCGAGTTTAAATCTGCAGTAAATATAATCATTGGCCAAGTATCTTTCCCAGTTTATTTACGGAAAAAGTTTTAACGTGTTCATGATGTTGTTCACCAGGAGTTCACTCTTAAAGATTATAGATCGCCGCATCACTTAAGACTGGGCAAAATGGAGACTGTAAACTGGATGTATCTGTTTGATCCAGAGGGAATGCTCAAACTTCTAGAACTGGTAAAATAAACTTTTCTTTAATTTATCCTTTGCAGTACATCAGATTTAATTAAAGGAATCAGAAACACAACTAAATAAATTATATGTACCTTTGTCTCTGATCAATGTACACCATTGCTTGTCTGCTATTTGGAATAAAATTCCGATCAGTTGGTCGTTCCTTTAAGTCATATTTTACATTTCAGGCCCTTCTGTCCGCCGCAATAGCCTGTGCAGCTCAGTACCACAAAGACGACGGCCTGTCAAACCTGTCTGAGTGGGAGTTTGAACGGGCATCCCCGTTTTATGTGGTGTTCGTTGTCGGACTTGCGGTCGTGTTTGTCGTGTTTGTCAGCTTTTTGTTTAACTTGAATAAGAGGTGTGGATCACCCAAGGGATGGGCTCTGTTTGTAAGTATATCAGTGCTACTTTTTATCTCAATCTGCAAAGCAGAACACAAACTTTACTTTGTAGCGATATGCTCTACATACAGTACGTTTTAACACTGTTCTGCCATTATCTCTTAAAAGTTAGCATCGTCTGGTGTAGCTTTGAATGCGCAGCACAAGGTTCCATAGTTAATTTTAAGAATTAGAAAGATGGTCGGGTCAAAAGATGGGGGACCAGGGATTAAAAAAAAGATGGTCTGGGATCAAAAGATGCACTTATTAAGTAGATTAGTGTATCTTAATACATGATTCCTTCGCCATTACTCACCATGAACAAGACCTAATCCGTTTTATTTTTGAACAAAAGAACAAGTCTAGCCATGAACTCATCATCAGAGCTTTCGTTTTCGATCTTTTAAAACGGCCCAGAATACTTACGTATAGGTTTTTTTTTTAATGTTATTTTTATCACTCGCAATACCAACCCTATTTATGATACTATCATTACATAAAACAGCAACATACTACTCACAGTACTAACCTTACAATGCAAGTTGACAATACCATGCGTTATTTAGCATATCGTAACATGACTCAATGTTATCTTATATATAGAGTTACCCTTCAAAATATTTAAAGATCACACGTTGTAATTATCTTAGATTTGTATTGGGGTTAGTCTAAAATATGATGACAAAAATAAACAACTAGAATTAAAACAGAAAGAAATATAAAATTGTATCAATGAAACAATAGGAATATCTCAATTTTAATTTTATTTTTTTTGCTTGTTTGTCATGTCAGGTGACGGGGTTCTCGCTGATCTGGACTGTGTTCTGTGCTGTTACTTCAGGATTTTTCAGTGAAGTTGTTTTCCAGCTACAAGAAGACAATTGGGATGACTCTACAGATGAACGCATTGAGTGGCGCTACCAACACGCTCAGGCGGCCGTGGTATGAACTTTCTTTTTCCCCTAATTTGCCGTTATTCAATTGCCAAACTGATGCCGTCCTGTGTAAGGCTGGGGAATTTCGATATGGCTTGGGAAACGTTCTTAAAAATCTATATCCATGAATTGGACGTTCGCAATTTTAGCAGCGGTTACCACGTTTTCTCTCCCATAGAAAGAGAGAGAACTCTGGAAACAAGATAAAGAGGCTGTTGGGATAAACGTCATGTTCAGTATGCGAGTAGTCCAGCTGGCGTCGCGTGAATACACATATGTGTTATAAGACATACAACTAGACGAACAGGCAAAGAAACTTTCTCAGACGGGAAATAATTGGACTACTTTAAAGAGAGTATGTGTAGCTTGTTAACACACTTGACAGTTTGAAATCGTTTGTTCGATAGCAGGGTCGACATTAGAGAGAGGATTGGAGAGTTAATTAAATCCCCCATATAGGCTTCGTTCCCAAGGTAATCCCTCTG